CGGCTGCAGGTGGTGTGTGTAGTGGGAAGGATTATGGTAATGAGCCCGGCTGGAATGTGCCCACAGCTCTGTGGGTATCTTGTAAATACTGCAAAATTGCCAGACAAACTTAATAGCCCTTTTGTCTTGGCTTCGTGGCGTTGGTAGCCCTGTGCACAAAGTCCCTCCAGCACTTTGTTGCGATTGCACCTGTAGCGGTAAAAACCTTCCCGGGATCTTGAGCCCCTGGCAGCGTTTTGGGCGTTTCAGGAAGCTCCCTATTGATGCTCCGTGTTATTTCAGCAAGGTACTGCCGTGGAAAACACCAGCCAGAGCTGTGCCGTGGGGTCAAGGCTCAGGCTCCTCTTTGGAAGGCTCCGGAGGCGACAGCGGGCTGCTGTTGGATGGGGCGGTGTGAAGCTTTGAAGGAGCTGCCTGTGAAAGAGGCACAAGCCTGCTGGCTAACGTGGTATCTAGCCCTTGAGCTGTGTGTGGGAATATGGCATGGTTTGGGTGCCTGGATGTTATTTCATGGAGTTCTCAGCAAGGAAGCTATGCCTGGGAAAGCCTGGCTGCCCAAGAAACCCTGAAAATATTTGGGATGAGTGTGGTACGTGTTTTGGAGCGGAGCTGTGTGGCTCTGTGGTCTGTATCCCAACCCCTTGTCACTGAGGAGACCCCTAGACTCAGGAGAACATCCCGCTGTGCTCCAGTCCCTTCCACTCCGGTGGAGACAGCGCATTTGTTACAGGCAGTTTTGCATCTGGTCTCTTGATTAATGGACTTGTCTTTTGCAGCCTATTTTGACTCTGACACCGCTCTCTGCTCCACAGATGCTTTGCTGATGTTGAAGAAAGTTTGCCTCGCTTGATAAAGACCAGATCCTGAAATTTACTTCCAAACCTGAAGTAACAATTTTTAACTCGAAATGCCTTTTCCCCAGGAGTTGCTGCTCCAGAATCCTTCCCTTATTTGGTGCCTCCTTCACCGCTGGGACTGATGCTCAGGTGCCAAAGCTCTGTGCGCTCCTCGCCGTGAGCCAAACGGGTCCGTGCTGGGTTCGAGCGTGGCAGCTCCGCTTCCCGGCCCAGTTTGTGGCTTTTCCTGCCTGCCCCAGTGGCGTTTCCAGTGTTTCTCCGCTGGGAGACAGGTTTTCAACCCTTTTGGTTGGTGCATAGTCTCTTGGGGTTGGGTCTTGCTTGCTTTGCTGGCTCAAGACGTGACAAACCTTTCCTGAAGCTGTCTGAGTGCCTGTTCTGTGTGCTGTCAGGATGCACTCCTCGTGGCCTCTCCGTGATTTCAGCTGGCTCTTCCAGCACCGTTGCTATCTCCGGCCGCTCCGCGAGAAGTTGTTAGTCACTGTTGATTTCTTCCATGGTAACAAACCCAGTTTGGTTAGAGGTGCGGTGTGTGAGTGCTCCCCAAGCAGCAGCGGGCTGCTTCCTCCGGTGAGGTTGCCTCTTCCCAGGTGGATTTAGTCTGTCGGCACATGCTGACTCATGACAGCCAAACCAGCTGTTTTCAGCTTCAGGCACTACTGTGTGCAGGGACCCCTTCTTCTTCTTGACAGCTGGTTTGTTTTTATAACTAATGCCTTCACTATATGCTCATAACTTCCATATCTGCGATGCCCGCTTTTCAACTGGAAGGGCCAAAATCCATTTTTTGACATAGTTTTGGTGTTGTATAAGCCTCGCTCGGCGGGCTCTTCCCAAGCGATCAACTGGGACCAGCCAGGTTGGGTTCCCTGTCCCGAGGGACTGGGCAAAGGGCAGCGGTGCTTGTGCCCTGACTTCCCCTGGCATCCTGCTGTCCGTACAAGGACCGTTTTCGGGAAACCCTTGGAAGGTGGCCGCCCTTGGACCGCACGGTGCGTGCGGTGAAGGCAGGGAGTTGCTGCAGCACCAGGGCAGTGAGCATGCTGGCAGGGCTTTGGGGAAGTGCTCCTCTCTGCCATGTGAATGCAGAACAGCAGGTGACGGGACTTCCTCCTCCCTGCCCCGAATCTGGCTGACGGGTGGCCGTTCCCCTCCGTGAGAAGCGGTGTTGGATGGGAGGAGCAGCGAAGGCTCCCGGAGACGGAGGGACAGGTGAGTCACTAGAGAAGGAGTCATTCAGAGAAAAGCCCAGTCAAAGCAGCCCGTGGCCTTAGCGTGAACTCGGAGATGAAAGGTCCAAAGTTAAGTGATGAGCTCATCAAAACCTTGAGGCTGTGGGAGAAAAAGTGGCGAGGGAGGCGCGAGAGGTGCCTACTTGAGATGCCACGGTGCTGGGGCACACGGGGCTCTGCCTGGGCTTGCTGGGTTCGTGCTTAGGTTGGCAGGAGGTGTGAAACAGGCCTCTTTCCTAGAGGCAGGTATCCTGCTTCCTTTAAAAAGAAATTATAATGTATGTGCATGCCTGTATCTGCGTCCCAGTTCAGCACTGGTTCCTGTGGACTGTGACTGGTTACTCCTTGGGATTGCCGGCGAAAAGGCTGAGCATGAAACCCGCCCCGAGAAGGTGGGGGTGAAGCCAAGGTCCTGGCGAGCCCTCCCAGAGCCGGGTGTCTCAGTGGGAACTCTCCAGGCACGTCCCTGCGGGGCACAGGCGTCACTTTCCATTCAAGGTGGGGAGTTTTGGTACTCCCCCGCTGCCGGGAAAGTGGTGTGGGGAGTGCAGGCTGAGCGTTCCCGGCTCTGCGGGTGGATGTGGGCCTGGAGAAAATCTCCTGTTTCCATTTCTTCTTTCCCCCACGTGCAGCCTGCCCCTCGGCATTGCGGCAGGCTTTCCAGTGGGGAAGAGCCAGTCGGGAGCTCCTGCTCTTTTCCATATCCCCCATCAGGGACCGTGGAACCCCTCCTCCAGCTCCTGCAGGCAGCAGCAGCGCGTGGGCTTGGTGTGGGGCAGAGCACTGCCCGCTGCCCCACCAAGGCTCTTGGATCTGAGCTGGGGCTCCGACTTGGCAGGCTGTGTCACCCCGTCCGGGTACGTGACCACAGCCGGAGCCACGGAGCTGCTCACTAACCAGCTTTCCACCTGCACAAGCTGTTGCCTGAAAAAACACTCCCATGTTAAAGGCTTCAAGCCCTTGCTGTCCTAAGGAGGGCGGTGGAGAAGCAGCAACATCCCGGCTTTGCTGTGCTGTCCCAGTATTCCCCAGTCCCGTCCAGGTTTCATCTGCAGAGTTAATAAAATGGTGGCAAATAAAGTCACGTTCCAGTGGAAAGGACTCTTTAGGGCAGCAGTAAAATAGTGAGTAAGCAAGAACCCCTTGCTGCGGGGGCCACTTTAATTGGTCTGGCTTGTTTTATGAGACAGGTTTTATGTTCAAACTCGCACATGGCCCAGGAGCGACTCTGCAGCAGGGCATCCTTCTCCCGCATGGCTCCTCTGGGAACGCGGCCCGGGTTAATTACACCTACCCGAGCGACCGCGCCGAGCAGCTGGCATAAGTCATGGTATGAGCCGAGGGGTTTGGCAAATGAGGGTGGGGGCTAAGGCTGGAGCTCGGGCTGCCCGTGGTCAGCATCCCGGGCAGCCAGGCCTGGCAGGGAGCTGCCTGGAGGCATTGGCCGTGGCTATCTTGGACTGCCTCGCTCTTGGCTGGGCATTGCCTCAGCCCTACCCAGTGACCTCATCCTCCCCCTGTGCGTCTGGACCCTCTGAGATAGGAGTCGGCCTCGCTGACCTTCGCAGAGGGGTTCAAGATGTAAAAACCTCGCGTGCATGGGAGCGGAGCGGCGCGCTTAGCCTGGGTCGCTCCTGGTCAGCGTCTCCCGGCGCGGGGCTCGGAGCCTGGCTTTCCTCAGCGAGCTGAGGCTGTGCAGGCACGCGGGTGTGAGAGGAGAAGGTAAGAGTGAGGCCAGTCCCATCCTAGCGTTGCAGAGCCACCTCAGGGGCCTGGCAGAGTGACTGTTTACCCACCCACAGCCGCCTTAAAGCCATTTAGATAAGGCCTGGGAAAGCCCAGAGCTCTGCTGAGCTGGCAGAGGTGGCTCAGAGCAGCAGTAGGTGGTTGTTCTGCTCGGGTTTTGCTGTTGCTGGACCCAAGCAGGGCAGGAAGCTGCCATGTGCTACAGCCAGCTCCCCCGCGTCGCTCTGGTAGTTCGATAGCAGCATCGCCGCTGCAGCCTTTCGGGGGCTCTTCTGATCCATCTAAACACCGTCTCCCACTCTGGAATTGTGTAAGGCTGGAGTTAAGGGATGCAGCATCACCCCGACGCTCCCGTGGTTCTGAAAGCTGCTCCTTGCAGCAGGAGCAGCAACTCGCCGCCTTGGTGTAGGACATCCCGCTCCCTCTGCGCCTTGGGGGA